GAACCGCCGAACTGCAGATAGCAGTCAGCTGAAGTGGCGTGCAGTACTGCACTCTAACCACTGCGCCACCTCGGCTCAGAAAGAAGAAAAGACAAAGGTGGGGTGGAACTGGCATGCATTGTGAATGATCATGCAAATCTTTTCAAGCCATCTGGAACATTTCTAGCTACCTTTTTGAAAATACTCAAACCTTTTGACCTCTCTGATATGAAATGCAATGAAAAGATCTTTTGCCAGAAATTATTCCACGAATAATTTTTCTCCACAATGCTGGCCCCTCCCTTGGGGTTTGTCTTTTTGGAATCTTAGAAACCTATTTGCTGAGATCAGCAGCTGGATTGAATAGGACCGACTTTATATTCAGAATAATCAGCCTAGCAATATGTTAAAGAATAATGTAAATTAGAAAATGATACTAGATACGCGGAATATACAGGTATTTTTTCTTGAAACACTGACATCTTAACTTCAGTAAGAATAAATATTAGATAAGTAACAACAAGAAACTATCAAGGCCTAGAAGACCAGTAGCAACCTGACTTGAATCTCAGGTAATTAAAAAATAGTACAAATACTCATAAAAATGAAAAACCAAAATTGAATAAATTTCTTTAGGATGGGCAATAACCTACACTTTGGGGGAAGAAGCTAAGATCATTATGTTTCTGCAGATTCAGATGTGATTCTTCATATCAAGTGAACATGGATTGTAGTTAATAAATTGGTCTTGGATACTTCAGGCGGAAGGCAGATGCATCACATCATCCTAACCCAATATGTGTTAATATGGAATTAATATTGCAGTAGGTACTTTTGAATAAGTGAAACCAAGGGTTTTTTTTATCATTAATTCCTCAACCATTTTCTTTCTTCAACTTGCCAGTAGCTTTTTGTGTCTAAATCCAATCTGATGCGCTGATTAACCTCCTTGCTGAGAGGCTAGATGTTAAGTGCATGTACAGAACAGCTGCTGACATATTACAAACACCATCTGAAAATCACACTACAATTAAGGATGGAACAAGCAATAAGATGGTCACTATATGAATAGGAGCTACATAGTTACACCAAAGAAGTTATTAGATCCAAGTGAAACAATATTCAATGATAGTTTCAAACTCGGTTATAAAACATTACATTAACATTTAAAAAATATTTTTCAACAATATTTTCAGTGCAGAAATGTTCTTTCAGAGGGAGATATTCTTCATTCATTGTCTAAAATTTATTTATTTATTTGTTTAAGTATTTCCCCATGCAAGAGTATCTTTATTTTACTGCATCCTTACTTCTATTCTGTTGGCTTCTACCTTCTGCTTCACCACAACTTCAGGATCATCCAATTGTCCTCTAGAAAAATTTATATGAAAATATCCCTTATTTTCAAGCCTAGTCATGGGTGAAATTCATATTTGACTCATCTATGATTCAGCATACACATTCAAGAATACAATCAAATGCTACAGATTCTTTTAAAATAGTTCCATTTTATTGTGCCAAAAATTACAGGCTTTGTTATCAAACACAATTTGCTCACTCATTCACATAGTTCAAGTACATCTGCCCCAAAATGAGATGGCATTTCAAAGCTATGTGATTAGACTAAATTACAATCAGAGGATTTATTTCTGTACAACATGAGCCAATGTTTCACACTTTTTTAAAATAGCAATTTTTTTTAGGAAAAAAAACTATAATACCAGCAAGAAACAAATGATTATGCATTTTTTAAAATCTAGATAATGCTATGGTGATTAGGAGAAACTTAACATGACCAGAAAAAGAGGGGGGGGAAGCTAATTAACTACAAGAGAGAGAGAGAAATCCATGCAAAATCTAAAATAATCTTATACTTCTAAAACTCTTGTGTCTGTTTGATATTCCGTAACCTTCAATTGGACAAAATGCTACATCATAGGGCAAGACTTTGTCAACAAAGATATCTTAAATAGGCTAACTTACAGAATGTCAGGACCCATTACTCCAAGGGAATGAAATATGGGAAGTATTTCGTTACTTCAGCACCACTACACTCTTGCTGTTCACCTTACTGCTTGTTCCATCCTTAATTGTAGTGTAATTTTCAGCTGCCTTTACATGAATATCATTTTCAATGTTCCCTGGCAGCTTCCTACAAGTCAATGGAAAACCTGAAATGAACTAGTGTGATGGCTTTCATATGCTCCTTGTCACCTTCCCTCTGGCAAGGTCTTTGCTCATAGGAAGCTTCAGGAAGAAAGTCAATAGAGAAATAGTTCTGTTTTATTGCACTGTGCCAGTCACTCACTAACACACTCTCCTCCTTCTCCCACCTGGCTGCAGCCATTTACTTGCCTAATGGGGATGGAGGGAGGGAAGGAAAGATGATGAAAGGAAAGAAGGAAGATTTCCAGCACTCACTGCCAGCTTTCCACCAGGAAACTCAAGGAGGAAGCTGACAGGAAGTTGGAAGCTTGCACTCCCTATGCTTTTTTGCCTGCCCAGTGTCCATAGTTGTTCTGTTTCTCTGTTTAGGTAAGGAAATATCTCTGAAACGAGGGTTTATGGATCATCTATTCTAGCATATATATTAAATTATTTCAATCATTATTGCAAAATCTACACCATAAAGAAATATATTGTTTCATCTTTTAATTTCTAGAACACAGATTTAAGGGCCAACAGTGCATAAAACCTTTACAAAGATAAGGAGTGTTTGGAACGACTCTTTTGCTACGCATTTGCTAAATTAATGCTGGAGTAAATTGGTGTTTAACTTTGGTTCTAGATTGCTGTCCTTGGTACTGAAACTAAACCTGACGGCCCTGAATTATTGTAGTGCACTCAAAAATGTTGACTAATAGCCTTCCTAAAAAGCATTTTGGATTTAAGTGTTTACTAGTATATTTTTATTGACCTCACATGAATAAATAAATAAACTTATTTTGCGTTAAAATCTTGCAAGAGAATGTTAACTCTAAACTAAGGAAAAGCAACCAGATGGAGTCATAATTTGTTCTGTAATTAGAACAAAACTGCTTATAGATCTGGTCAACTATTTTGTGACATTTTCTCACTGACTACACAATTAGCTGCCTGAGAAAATGCTACATTCTACATCCAGTCAGGTAATTTAGTAATAGACCTCATTCATCAGCATATTTCTGGTATATAGTCTCTTTATACAAAATACTTTTTCTTCAAAAATTAATAAATAAACAAATATATTTTGTGAAACATGCACTTTGTCTGCTGAGAATTTCACAATTGGTATTAAAAGGCAATATGCAACATCTAACCTTTCCTTGTTCAGAAATTGCTTTAGTCTTGACAACGTTGTCATAAACAAATAATCCAAATGGCACTTTATGGAGCTTTCATAAAATACCAAAGTTCACATTTATTATAAATAATCAAGAAGCTGCGGTAGTGTCTATTTCTCCAACAGCTGCTTCTATCTAATCAAGGAGCTAGTAGGCGAAGCAGGAAACAGATTTCATTTCAAGGCAGAGAAGATCCTTCAATGGATTAATGGTCAGAGAAGGAAACTTAGGAAGGACTCATCCTAATGGCAGTTACAAAAGCAGCAGTACTTTCAGACTTTTAATATTCTGTTAATGTAATCTTACAATAAAGTACTGTAGATTTAGCTCATCTAGTTGTGTTTCCTGTCTGGTTTACATGGGAAGGCTGACACTATTTCCTTGCTCAGCAGGGAATTGCATCTTCTCAGTAACTACTGTGAAATTTGCCTTATGCCTGGATTTTTAACCTATCTTTAAACTGGTGCAGTCTGTAAAATTAAATTTGCTTTCTCAAAGTACCTGGAAGTTGTTAGAATCTAGAAATATATTTATGTTTAATCTGTTGCATAAAATCATAAAATCTCATGCTTCCAGATGAAATGCAAGTTTAAATGAGGTATGCTTCCTTATACAGAGACGTTTACAATCTGAGGTCCTTCTGGGCTCACTCTTCCAACAGGCGGAACTATTTTCAGGAGGACTTTTTCACCAATCTGTATATCATCTTTGTAACTGCTTTTTCTGAA